TTCTTCAATGAATGAGTGCATCTGTAACGAAACAAAAATTTCCGGCTTGCACATGTCTAGTCAGTAAAATGTAGGGACTGTGTACGCAGGCAGAAGGGTAAAACCGACATACCCCCACTGCTATCCCTGAAGAGTATAATTGGCACCCTAGGAAACACTGGTCTGACAGTAGAATTGAACCTTTGCTGCAGAATGCCACTTGAAACGTATCAAAACTCCCAAAATCAAAAAAGTAATATAAAACAAAAAATAGAGTGTAGCGCTAAAATAGTTATCATATGCAGACCATAATAATGAGATCATAAAATAATCGGTGACAAAGTGCTGGTTGCAATAAAGTGACACTGTGGTATCATAGAATAGTGTCACTCTCAAACATTAATATGCATATATGTACATATAATAAAGCAAATAAATACATAAAAGTAGTACCAGTGGTAAAGTGCTGACAATGAAATAAAGTGACTGAATAGTGATAAATTACGTCACTTTGTAGTGACCAATGGTGTGTAAGGTGCCAAGAAATCAATCAATGATCCTCATATAGTCCAAAGTGAAGTGCATAGGAGATCATGATGATCTTCAGTATCTGGTGATCTTAACCTGTACGGTGGTGATGTGGCCAAACATGTAAAGACTGCGCACTCACCAGATGCGCAATCAAAGAGCACATTTAGAGATAACACTCTCAGTAACTTGGAGGTCTCTTTAAGATGGAAAAGGTCTGGTCTGGTGTCCCCCACTGCTCAAACTGCCGCACAGCGGCTAAATGGTTAGCGCTTCCACCTGGCAGCACTCCTCCACCTGTTTTCCTGAAAAAGCTATATAGTATGTGCAAAAATTTGAGTGAAAATAGACTTCCACTGGTGGCCAGATTTAAACCTCTGGACTACTGGTCATACATAATGTACACAATAAGGGCTTAAACACCAGGGGAAGTTCTTTTAGGGAGGAAACTGTAATTATGAATGTATTATACTATATATGATACATCCCGGGTTAATGGACAGAAAGTGGCTGTACGTCTTTATACTTTTAAGCATTTTTAATAAATAGCAAAGTCTATTCTATATGTTTTTGGAGTCTAAGGTAATTATTGCAGCATCCTGAAAGCCCCATTGAGCTATTGTTAGCATTATTTGGTGTTTTACATACTTTTTGCTAAAAATGGCCTGATGAAGGAGCATGCATGCTCCGAACACGTGCCACGCCTACTGCTGCTGTACCTGGTGCTGACATCCACTTGTATTCACCATCATTGTATCTATCATACGTGTTTGGTTTATATTTTCTTGCACATTGAACCACTTGCCAACCAGCCAACAGTAATTTTTCCATACTGTCACAAGTTAGTATTCCTGATCACTGCTACATTAGTGATATGATGACACTGTACTGCACTGTCAAAAAACAAAATTTATTTTTTTTTTGTTTTTTTAAAATTTAATTTCTACATTCCAAAAATTGACAAACAATTACTTTAAGAAACTTGCCATGCCTCTTACTAAATACCTTGGATTGTTTACTTTCCAAAAAGGGGACATTTGGGGGGGGGTATTTGTATTGTTCTGGCATTATAGGGGCTCAAGAAATGAGACCGGCTGACAGTATATCAGAATTGATCAATTTTCATATATATATATATATATATATATATATATATATATATATATATATATATATATATATAGTTTCTGGACCAGGGGTCAGCAAACATTTCCACATCAGGTGCCATTTTTAAAACCTAACACAATCAGCAAGCCCATGATTAATAGTGCACTGTAGTCATATAAGTTTTTTGTTTTCAGTTCTTGAACTCATAGTTGTACTGATAATGGCAAGTAAAACTGATTAGTTTTGTTAAAGGATAAGCTCATTTTTTGTAACATGTTACATCCGTATTCAGGATGTAACATGTTACTGTTGCAGCAGCCTATCACCCCCCCTGATCCCCCATTGTGACAGTGGGCAGAAGATCCTCTCCCCGCACCCACTTTCACAATTTAAAAAAAAAAAGGAAGAGTTCTGTGAATGTGAGAACTGTAAGTACCAACAGCCTTTGCAGCTGTCAGCTTGTAGTTCTCAGTGAACTACCAGGGCGCTCTTAAGTCCTGTAATTGTGTAACTGCCTGCCTGTATCAGAAGTATGAGCGGACAGCTTACACTGACAGTCTGCAAGAGAATGAGATTGCACCTGTGATCTGCTGATCGTGGTGCAATGCTTTACAGGGTCCTAATAAAAAAATATAATGAATGCACTTTTTTTTTTTTAATCTGAAAAGGACTTGCATGTAGGTCTTCCATTGCACCAGCCCCGGTTCCCTGTATCATGCCGCACTTTTGGCCGGCTGCCCTTTGTCCTGACTCTCTTCCCTCCAGTTCTCACTGCCACTGCTAGCTGGGGATGGAATGGAGTCCTGACAGGAGTGCTCTGATCCTGCAGAGAGCCCTAGCACAGCTGGTGCCCAGACAGTGATGGAACAGCAGGCCGACAGAATAGAAGAGGCGCAGTTGTGGGGGAGGAGAGGCGGCAAACCAGCAATAGAGGGAAACAAGGGGGTGAATTGTGTACAGAGTCTGGTACATGGAGTGCTGGAGTCTGTCTTTATAGGTGCATTTTACCACCCCTCCTTTTCCACACACACCCATCCTTCCCCTCTTAGCATCCACTTCCTACCTGTAAAGTTCCTAGGCTTCTCATCATACACGCTCCAACCTCTTTGCCAGGTCTCTGGGAACTATAGTCTGTTCACTCCTTGACTGGGCACAGAAATCCTGCTATGAGCAAACAAGGCTTTGCTTCAATAGAGTTTGCATAAGTAAACCGCAGAGCACTGCCATCTTGTGTTCACTTAACATCCCACAACCAGTAATAATGCAGGGTGTTACACTCAAGTCAACAATTTTGTAAGGTCCCTTTCACATAGGGCAAATTCCATTCCAAAAAGCACAGTTTACCTGCTGATCAGAGTAGAGCGGGAGGAAAACACATCAGTGTCCACTCAGTTTCTGCAGAACGAACATGGATAGAACTATACAAGTGGCTGGGACTAAACAGACTCCACTGTCCATTTATACCCAGCTACCCTCTGATCTACTCCACCTAAATGGAAGGGGGGCAGATCCCCTTCCATTTTTTTTTTGGTGAGCGGAGGGTAGGCAGAAGTAAATGGCCTTGTGATCATAGGGATGAACAGACCTTTTAATCAGGTCTGCCTGAAAAACTGATAGGTGGACCTGATCAGAATGGCCGTGTGAGAGGGGCCTTAGAGGTGGAAATAATTTTTGGACTATACTCTAGGCATGTTGGAGATACAATTTATGTTCACATTTAAATATACTTGTGTAACGCCACCCCCGCAGGAGCCGCTTGTGTCTTGCCCAGGCCTTCCCCTAGATTTCCTCCTGCAGCCAAACACGCTGCATTTTTTCAATCAGGTACACATAACTTCTGCTCGTTACTCCAATGAGCAGTCTAGGGGTTGTAGTTTTTTGTTGTTTTATTTTTTTTTTTTAGAACTGGGATAGGGTAGGGATAGAGTAGGATACTCCAAATCAAACTATACACAATTGAGGACAGTTTTCTCAAAGTGGAACTGTGTAACAGACTGTATAAGAATGGAGAAAAGTAGATATGCAGACTTAGTGGACAATTGCTTTTCTGTACACCAGCCAGTGTCCCCTCTAGCTTACACCCAGCATCTTACTAGATAGGTCCCAAGGGAAGTTAAACAGCCCAAGTCCCGGCCAGTTGTCTCCTGGGCTTGGTCAACAATCTAGCCTTTTTTAGGGCCTCTAGAACACTTTTTGGCAGGGGCGGACTGACCATTTGGAAACTCAGGCACTGCCCGAGGGCCCAGGGTCAGTAGGGGGCCCCATGAGATGCCCCTGGTACCTTTTTTATAGGCTTTGTTGAGTTTGGGCAAGGACACAGGGGCCCCATGAGTTGTCAGTCTGCCCCTGCTTTTGGGTCTACTTCTGTTCAATGCTAGAAAAACTATTGTTCTGGTGTGGAAATCAGATGGATGCCTACTTTAGAGAGCTGGAAGAAACTGGTCAATTTAGCGGTCCCATTGTATAAATTGACATATCTCTCCTGAGTCACCCCCAAAAGTTCCTTAAAGTCTGGGATATCTGACTCTCCCTCTACTACTAGTGCTAGAGATAATACTGTGCTTGATTAAAGTGAATGGCGAGTGACTTCTATGTTCCTTGAAGAGGAGGGACTATGCCGGGGTTGACCTGGTGGTCCCCCCTTTGTATCCCCTCTTCACCTTCACCTTTTAGCATCTCCTTGGGACTATACATTGCTCATACTGCACTTTATTATTTATTGTGTTATAGTCCTAATTATCTTGGTTATATTTCTAAAATTTGATATGTGTCAATATGATATTACCTAACTTCTACCTCCTGATTGCTTACCTTGGTCGTGTGGATGCTGCTACTCTCATTGATCAAGGGTATCGGAGTTGTGACACCAACGATGGGGCACCATTCCTCCCCCCCACTGACACCAACGATGGGCACCATTCCTCCCCCCCACTGACACCAAGGAGGCACCATTCCTCCCCCCCACTGACACCGATGGGGCACCATTCCTCCCCCCCCCACTGACACCGATGGGGCACCATACCTCCCCCCCACTGACACCAACGATGGGGCACCATTCCTCCCCCCCACTGACACCAACGATGAGGCACCAATCCTCCCCCCCACTGACACCAACTATGGGGCACCAATCCTCCCCCCCCACTGACACCAACGATGGGGCACTATTCCTCCCCCCCCACTGACACCAACAATGGGGCACTATTCTACCCCCCCACCTACACCAATGATGGAACACTATTCCTTCCCCCACTGATGGGGTACTATTCCTCCCACTGACACCAATGTTGGGACACTATTCCTCCCACTGACACCAATGACGGGGCACTATTCCTCCCACTGACACCAATGACGGGCCATGATTCCTCGCTCTGACACCAATGACGGGACACTATTCCTCCCACTGACACCAATGATGGGGCACTATTCCCCCCACTGACACCAATGATGGGGTACGATTCCTCGCTCTGACACCAATGATGGGGCCAGGGGCGGACTGACAACTCATGGGGGCCACCTGGCAATAGGGGATCATGGGGCCTCTGTGTCCTTGCCCAAACTCAAAAAAGCCTATGAAAAAGGTACCAGGGGCATGTCATGGGGCCCCCTACCGACTCCAGGCCCTCGGCAGTGCCCAGTTTTCAAATGGTCAGTGCGCGCCCCTGGATGGGGCACCATTTTTCCCACTGACACCAATGATGGGACACTATTCCTCCCACTGACACCAATGATGGGACACTATTCCTCCCACTGATACCAATGATGGGGCACTATTTCTCACACACTGACACTAATGATGGGGCACCATCATTGGTGTCAATAGGAGGAATAGTGTCCCATCATAGATGTCAGTGGGAGGAAGTGCCCCATCATTGGTGTCAGTGGGAGGAATAGTGCCCCATCATTGGTGTCAGAGCAAGGAATAGCACCCCATCATTGGAATACCATACTGAAATACCATACCATATTGAAATCAAATCTGATGTTTAATTTTTATTTGGTGTGTGTTGGAAGAGGGGTAGTCTTATACGGCGAGTATAGCCCAAACCCTATATTTTAACAGGAAAAGTAGGGGGTCGTCTTATACGCCCAGTCGTCTTATACACCGGAAAATACCGTCTTACCACCACCCAAAAAAATGCTAAATATATGATCCTACTTTTGACAACTGCAGTGATACCACACGTGTGCGATTTGTTCTTTGTACCCATAGTAGGGCCAAGAAACAATAGATTTTTGTTCCTACTTAAGCACACTGACACTAACATTAGCACTGATCCCCTTTTTTTTTTTTTTTTTTTTTTTTACCTAAAACTCGCTGACACTAACGCTACCACTAACTGCCCCTTGCACTGCCACTAACTGGCACGGACACTAACACACTGCCACTAACCCTGACACCTACCTTGACTGAGCAGCCCAAAGCTCGGGGACCCTTTCCTCCGAACCTGCTGGCGGCACACTAGTGTCAGGAGGTTTTTTTTTTTTATTTAATTTTTTACAATTTTATATTTTTTTACATTTTTTTGTGGGAGAGAAGAAAGGAAGGAAGAGAAAGAAGGAAGGAAAGGAGAGAAAGAGAGGAAGGAAGGAAGGAAGGAAGGAAGGAAGAGACAGAGAGAGAAAGAAAATGAGATGTATAGAAGGAAAGAAATAAATTCACTCCATGGGTGGCACGGTCTTTATCCTCCCACCTGACATCCTCCAACTGGAAAAATGTCGGCAGATTGATGACTGCATGCAGTCAGACGCAGCTGCTGTTCAGGTGTTCTGATAGCTGCTGGTGCGATTGGACTATCTATGCTTTATAGTAATGATGAAGGAATTTTTTAGATTTTTTATTTGTTCAGCCAGCTTAAGAATATATGTGGCTTTTGTAGTTTAAACAAGATTTGTTTAGCCTCGAATTCAGCTTTAACCTAATCGTAATTTCATCTGTCAGTTTGGCTTGTTTACATACAGTTACCTTTTTGAGTCTAATTATCCACTTTTGTACAGTTGTACATGTTAAAATGGCGAAGTGGTGGGCAGTTATTTACCAAATGCCATTTGTAAAAGACCATCGGGCCGTTTTGCCCATGCCGTGCTCGGACAGCTTTGTTTACAGGCACTACGTACAGAGCCGATCTGAGCAGCTCCATGTCATGTAGAGAACGACATATTCAAAAATTTAAAAAAAAGGTTGTATTACAAGTATACACCAACCAGCTACAACTTTATCAGGGACAGCTTAAGTGTATAACACACATTATCTTGTTATAATGGCATCTGAAAGGTGGTGGGATATATTAGGCAGCAGGAAAACATATTGTCCCCGGAGTTCATGTGTTGAAAGCTGAAAAAATTGCCATCGCAATTTATGTATGGGGCTGCGTAGCAGATGTCCAGTTAGGGTCACATGCTGACCCGTGTCAACAGCCAAAAGTGACTACAATGGGCATGTGAGCATCAGAACTGGACCACAAAGCAGTGGAGAATGGTGGCCTGGTCTGATGAATCACATTTTCTTTTACATCATGTGTGTATATGTGTCTTACCTGGGAAAGAGATTGCACCAGGATGCATTATTGGATGGGAAGAAGGCAAGCCAGCAGAGGCAGTGTCATGTTTTGTGAAATGCTCTGTAGGGAAACCTTGGCTACTGCCGTTCATGTGGATGTTGCTTTGACATTAACCACCTAGCTAACCACTGTTGGTGACCAAATACACCATTCATGGAAATGCTATTCCCTGATAGCAGTGGATTATTTCAGCAGGATGTGCTCTGCCACATTGCAAAAATGGTTGGAGAATGGTTTGAGGAACACAAGTTTGAGGTGATGATGTGGCCTCCAAATTCTCCAGATCTCAAGCCATTAACTGTGGGATGTGCTGAAAAAACAAGTCCAATGCATGGAGGTCCCCACCTCACCACTCGCAGGACCTAAAGGATCTGCTACTGACTGCTTGGTCCCAGATACAGCAGCATAGCTTCAGAGGTCTAGTGGTGTACATGCTGCCATGGGTCAGTGATGCTTTGGTGGAAATAGGGGGGGCCTACTCAATATTAGGTAGTTATAAAGTTACAGCTGGTCAGTATATGTTTTGCATCTTTTGTAGCTGGCTAGAGTGGAGATTTCATGGGATAAGATGAATATATTTATAGATCTAACCAATGAGTTGTTACAATGTGATTTACCTTTATGTTATGGTGGAATTCATAACTAAAGATCTTTGCACCAAAATGATCGCATAATATCATAACTAGAAATGACAACCTTTAAATCTGTAAAGCGTATTTATGATGATCGTTGGCTAGGCACTTTCTACCCCTCACACAAAGCTGTGCCATTCTGTCCTAATTGAGAAAGAGAGAGAGAGAGAGAGAGAGAGACTCATTCAAATTCCATGGGTGTGACAGACTGGAAAATTGTACAAAGTGATTTAGGAATGTTTGTATTACAAAACTACCAAACTGGAAGTAAATTCAAAACGAAGAGTCACCCACTGTTATATGTATAATTTAGTTTTATTTTTATTTGAATTTTGCAAATTAGAACCTGATTGGAAACAAGTAATCTCTGATGGGTACATTAATCATGATGTCTAGCTAGCTACTTTCCACAGATTTTGTTTATTGATTTATTTCAGGCATTTATATGGTGCCTACAATTTATGCAACGCTTTCTATCCTGTGCATTTACATCAGTCCCTGCCCTAAGGAGCTTACAATCTGTACATGATGGCCACCTTACTGCCCTATAATAATGTACAAACATTATGTAAAGAGGACCTCCTGCGCTCAGAACCTAATATAACTATAAAGGCTGCTAACACCTGCACCTTATTACCTAAAAGTGAAAAAAGCAAAAATACAAAAAATAGGTGTAGCACTCTCTAACAAAACAGTGACTAGAATCCCGGTAGGGAATAATTATGTGAAAAAATAGTGGAACAAACAACAAAACAGTGACTAGAATCCTTGGTAGGGAATAATGTGAAAAATAATGGAACAAACAACCAAAAAAAAAGTGATCCAATAATGAATAAATAACACAAGTGAATAACCACAATGCAATGTATTGATATATAGTGAAAACACACCTGTGATCCCAGCACTGGGAGATAAATCCTGCACAAAAAATGACAAACCAGTGCTTTGTGTCTAAACACTCAAAATCAAATAACAAATATAAACCCCTAAAATATAATTTTTCCAATATTATATAAAATAGTGAAAAAAGTGTGTGTGTGTATGTGTATATATATATATATATATATATATATATATATATATATATATATATATATATATATATATATATATATATATATACATATACACTCAGTGGGGATCGAAAGTTTGGGCACCCCAGCTAAAAATTTGTATTATTGTGCATAAAGAAGCCAAGGAAAGATGGAAAAATCTCCAAAAGGCATCAAATTACAGATTAGACATTCTTATAATATGTCAACAAAAGTTAGATTTTATTGCCATCATTTACACTTTCAAAATAACAGAAAACAAAAAAATGGCGTCTTCAAAAGTTTGGGCACCCTGCAGAGTTAATATCTTGTACTGCCCCCTTTGGCAAGTATCACAGCTTGTAAACGCTTTTTGTAGCCAGCCAAGAGTCTTTCAATTCTTGTTTGAGGTATCTTTGCCCATTCTTCCTTACAAAAGTCTTCCAGTTCTTTGAGATTTCTGGGCTGTCTGTCACGCACTGCTCTTTTAAGGTCTATCCATAGATGTGGAATCATCACCAGAGGCTACAACGGACAAGAACCACCTGCATGTTTTCTACTTATTTTTGTGGACACTGGTGTCACGTATTGTCAGGATAGATTTATATATTTTTAGATTTATATATATATATATATATATATATATATATATATATATATACACAGTTGCAAGAAAAAGTATGTGAACCCCTTGGGATTACGTGGAGTTTTGCATGAATTGGGCATAAAATGTGCTCTGAACGTCATCTAAGTCACAACAATAGAAGAACACAGTCTGCTGAACATAATACTACACAAACATTAGATGTTGCCATGGTTTAATTGCACATAACATATAAACATTCACAGTGCAGGGAGGAAAAAGTATGTGAGGCCCTAGCTTAATGACTTCTCCCAGAGCTAATTGGAGCCAGGAGTGAGCCAACCTTGACTCCAATCAGTGTGATGATATTGGATGTGTTGCTGACAGCTGTCCTGCCCTTAAAAAACACACACCTGTTTTGGGTTTACTGGTTTCAAGAAGCACTGTCTGATGTGAACCATGCCTCGCAGAAAAGAACTCTCAGAAGACCTACGATCAAGAATTGTTGACTTGCATGAAGCTGGAAAGGGTTACAAAAGTATCTCCAAAAGCCTTGATGTTCATGTGTCCACGGTAAGACAGACTGTCTACAAATGGAGAAAGTTTAGCACTGTTGCTACTCTCCCTAGGCGTGGTCGTCCTGTAAAAATGACTGCAAGAGCACAGCGCAGAATGCTGCATGAGGTAAAGAAGAATCCCAGAGTGTCAGCTAAAGACCTACAGAAATCTCTGGCACATGCTAACATTTTTGTGGACACATCTACAATAAGGAAAACATGAAACAAGAATGGAGTACATGGGAGGACACCACGGAGGAAGCCATTGCCGTCCAAAAAGAATATTGCAGCACGTTTGAAGTTTGCAAAAGAGCACCTGGATGTTCCACAGCACTACTGGCAAAATATACTGTGGACAGATGAAACCAAGATTGAGTTGTTTAGGAAGAACACACAACACTATGTGTGGAGAAAAAAAAGGCCCAGCACACCAACATCAAAACCTCATCCCCACTGTGAAACAAGGCGGAGGGAGCATCATGGTTTGGGGCTGCTTTGCTGCCTCAGGGCTGGACGGATTGTTGTCATTGATGGGAAAATGAATTCAGAGTTTATCAAGACATTTTGCAGGAAAACGTACGACCATCTGTCCGCCAACTGAAGCTCCGCAGAGGATGGGTGATGCAACAGGACAATGACCCAAAGCATACAAGTAATTCAACAAAACAATGGCTGCAACAGCACAGAATACGCCTTCTGGAGTGGCCCAGTCAGAGTCCTGACCTCAACCCGATTGAAATGCTGTGGCATGAACTTAAGAGAGCGATTCACACCAGACATCCCAAGAATATTGCTACACTGAAACAGTTTTGTGAAGAGGAGTGGTCCAAAATTACTCCAGATCGTTGTGCAGGTCTGATCTGCAACTACAGGAAAACGTTTGGTTGAGGTTATTGCTGCCAAAGGAGGGTCAACCAGTTATTGAGTCCAAAGGTTCACATACTTTTTCCTCCCTGCATTGTGAATGTTTACATGTTATGTGCAAATAAACCATGGCAACATCTAATGTTTGTGTAGTATTATGTTCAGCAGACTGTGTTCTTCTATTGTTGTGACTTGGATGACGTTCAGAGACATTTTATGCCCAATTCATGCAAAACTCCACGTGAATCCCAAGGGGTTCACATACTTTTTCTTGCAACTGTATGTTATATATGTATTGGTGTATATATATTATATGTATATGTATATATATGTATATATATATATTGTATATGTATGTATATGTATATATTTGTATATGTATATATATGTATTATATGTATATGTATATATTTTGTATATTATGTATATGTATATATATGTTATATATATGTTATGTATATATATGTATATATATGTATATGTTATATATTATGTTTATATATTATATTATAGTATATGTATATATATGTATATATTGTATTGTATATATATGTATATGTATGTATATTATATTATATTGTTTATATTATATTATGTTTTATATATATATATATGTTATATATGTTTATATATATGTATATGTATGTGTATATGTATGTATGTATATATTGTATGTATATGTATATATATGTTAATGTATATTTTAGGGGTTTATATTTTTTATATTTGTTATTTGAATTTGAGTGTTTAGACACAGAGCACTGGTTTGTCACTTTTTTGTGCAGGATTTATCTCCCAGTGCTGGGATCACAGGTGTATTTTCACTATATATCAATCAATACATTGCATTGTGGTTATTCACTTGTGTTATTTATTCATTATTGGATCACTTTTTTTTTGGTTGTTTGTTCATTATTTTTCACATTATTATTCCCTACCGGGGATTCTAGTCACTGTTTTGTTAGAGAGCGCTACACCTATTTTTTGTATTATTGTACAAACATTGACAGTTCAGCATCTGCAGCATGCACCAAGCAAAGTTTAAAACATATGCATAATTGTGCAAATTGTGCTCTAAAATTGGGATGGCATGGTGCTTAGACATATACCCGGTCTTGGCCTCTGCCAAAGGAAAACAATAGCAATACCAGACATTTACACTTCCTCTGCAAAAGCCTGGGCTACGGCTCTCTTTCACACTAGCAGCAGTCTTTAGAACTATGAAAGGCAGGTTGCAGGCATTCAGGAGGCAATGCTGCCACCTCCTGATGACTTTTTTTGCTTTTACTTTTTTATTGCTGAGCAGAAAATTTTGTATTGTGGAACTACGCCACAACTGTAAGCCAAACATTTGGTTGTGCTGTGGCCCCATTCACTTACGTGCTACATTTTGACAGGTGGTGCCACCTGTCAAACATGACGTAAAATTTAAATCACCGCACCGTAATGCAAAGCATCATGGCAGCGGAAATGTGTACTCATCTGAGTGACATGATGTCCGCTTGTAGGTGGGAGGTAAAAAAGGGGATCAAGCACCTGTTTTTACTGCCTTCTGGCTGCCCTTTGCGAAAGGAGCCATAGTTCTGGGACTTTGAAATGGGATGTGTATATCACATTTATAGCCTGATCCTGGACTGGAGTGCATTGTGCAAACCCAAAACAATCAAGCAGAAAAGTATTTAATAAAAGAAGACAAGAAAGATGGCTTCCCAGTGGTTAATACAGAAATGTATTGTTCAAGCATGAAACGCAGGAAGGGAAAGCTGTGCAATAATTCTACTAGTTTGTGACCCAAAGCAAATCTGTCACAAACCCAGGCTACCCAAGTGGAGATAACAAAAAGAAACACAAGCAGTGCAATCAAAGTGCAGCAAATTATGTACTTTACTGGTAATAACTAAATTATGTACTCACATGTAGCAGGGTAAAAAGCGCAGGTAATATGCTCGAAGGCTGTCATCAATTGAATCACGAGTAGTGGAACAAGAGTGCAGTCCATATCAGGGGCGGACTGATAACTCATGGGGCCCCCGGGCAATAGGGGATCATGGGGCCCCTGTGTCCTTGCCCAAACTCAAAAAAGCCTATGAAAAAGGTACCAGGGGCATCTCATGGGGCCCCCTACTGACCCCGGGCCTTCTGGCAGTGCTTGAGTTTCCACATGGTCAGTCTGCCCCTGGTCCATATACAGACACATCTGCCAGCACCAAAGTACTAACATACAGAGCAGCCGATTTGACAGCATGGGACCAGAGCTTGTGACATCAAAGGTGGGGGAGGTGTGGCTACGCATTTCGAGGTGGTAACGCCTCTTTCTGTAGCCTTGAGCTATAACGCCTAATTTTTTTTTTTAATAATAAAATTACATAATTTGCTCCACTTAGATCACGCCCTCCTTTGTTTCTTTGTGATACTACAGATATTCCTGCTTTCTGCTGAGAAGCTGCAGAAATTTGAAACTAGCTGCATTGATGTACATAATGAGGATATAATGAACTTTTTAGCTAGGCTTTGTTTTTTAGAGTTAATTGGTTGCTTTTTGCACTATAACGATTCGTTTCCCTAACACGTCTGGAGGAAAATAAATTTAATCTCCAAACATGGAAAGGTTTCTTCACAGTAAGAGCTGTGAAAATGTGGAATAGACTCCCTGAAGAGTTGGTTCTGGCCAGCTCAGTGGATTGCTTTAAAAAAGTCCTGGATTCTTTCTTGGATCCACAGAATATAACTGGATAGTAACATTTATAGGTAAAGTTGATCCAGGGAATATCCGATTGCCTCTCGGGGGATCAAGAAGGATTTTTTTTCCCAGCAGGAGCAAATTGGATCATGCATTGCTGGGTTTTTTTTGCCTTCCTCTGGATCAACTGTGGGTATAGTATTTTAACTTTTTTTTTTTTTAATGGTTGAACTGGATGGACTTTTGTTTTTTTTTTTTTAATTTCAGCCAGACTAACTATGTAACACCCTGGTCACACTGATCCCGACTTTGAAATCGTGCAACTTACAGTGAAGTCGCACAATTTCAAAGTCGAATGACATGCCGATTTGAGGTGTGATTTGCAAGGCATCTGACACAGATGTCTATGCAAATCGCACAAAACGTAGTGCATGCACTACTTTAGAAATCGGTGCGGCTCTGACCAAGTCGGAACCACACCAATATGACCGCTGTAATTGCGGACAATAGGGTGTTGTAGCAATAATGCACACAGAGATGGACGCGGTCATCCATTTTGCTACAAACTCCTCCATCTTGTATCTCTCTCCCAAATCAGATTCCTCCAATATCCCCCCTCCCTCTCTGTTGAGTGACGTGGTCTGTTTGATGACAGAGATCACAGGCAGCAAACTCATTGGGAGGGCGTCATGGCTATAAACCTCACTAGCTGGTGCCCCTATGTCTGCGAGACTCTTGCTGGAGAAGCGATCGTAAAAACCATAAACCAAGCCCTCACGGAGCCTCAAAGACATTCCAGGTAGTCGTAAAAACAGATGTACATTTAAAAAACTCACTTTTCCATATAATTTTATATCTTTAAATAGGACATAACTACATAAACATGGAGCACATATTCGGACGGCTCACTTTAATACAAATTGTTTGGTATATTACAGGTGAAACTCAAAAAATTAGAATATCGTGCAAAAGTTCATTTATTTCAGTAATGCAACTTAAAAGGTGAAACTAATATATTATTATTATTATATCGAGTTTATATAGCGCCAAAGGGTTTACTCAGCGCTGTACAATAGAGGGGGGGGGGGACAATACAAGAAACAGAACAGCAACAACAACAGTACACAAGGGGTTAGAGGGCCCTACTCTTTCGAGCTTACAATCTAGGAGATATGAGATGGACTCATTACATGCAAAGCAAGATAGTTCAAGCCGTGATTTGTCATAATTGTGATGATTATGGCTTACAGCTCATGAAAACCCCAAATCCTTCTCTCCTGCAGGACCTTACCTGTTCCTCGCTCCAGCACTGTAGTCTTCCCGTGCCGGCTTCTGTGACAACCGGGTGCCCACTGCGCATGCGCGAGAAGCGCTGCGCTTTGTGAATGATCCGGTGTCTTCTGGGACACATGACAGGTCCCAGAAGGCGCTGGGCCATTCATAAACCGCAGCGCTTCTATCGCATGCGCAGTGGGCACCCGGCTGTCACAGAAGCCGGAACGGGAAGAAGAGGGAAGGACAACTCCGCAGAAATGGGAGCGGGTACCTGTCAAATTCAGGTACCCGCTCCACCTCCCTTCCCAAAAGTCAGCAGTCTCTGGTCATCTGTACTATGTCCCTGGTATTTTCCCTGTACTATGTCCGCAGTCTCTGGTCATTCACTGTACTGTGTCCGCAGTCTCTGGTCATCCCCCGTACCGTGTCCGCAGTCTCGGGTCATCTCCCGTACCGTGTCCGCAGTCTCGGGTCATCTCCCGTACCGTGTCCCGCAGTCTCGGGTCATCTCCCGTACCGTGTCCGCAGTCTCGGGTCATCTCCCGTACCGTGTCCGCAGTCTCGGGTCATGTCCCGTACCGTGTCCGCAGTCTCGGGTCATGTCCCGTACCGTGTCCGCAGTCTCGGGTCATGTCCCGTACCGTGTCCGCAGTCTCGGGTCATGTCCCGTACCGTGTCCGCAGTCTCGGGTCATGTCCCGTACCGTGTCCGCAGTCTCGGGTCATGTCCCGTACCGTGTCCGCAGTCTCGGGTCATGTCCCGTACCGTGTCCGCAGTCTCGGTCATGTCCCGTACCCTGTCCGCAGTCTCGGGTCATGTCCCGTACCCTGTCCGCAGTCTCGGGTCATGTCCCGTACCGTGTCCGCAGTCTCGGGTCATGTCCCGTACCCTGTCCGCAGTCTCGGGTCATGTCCCGTACCGTGTCCGCAGTCTCGGGTCATGTCCCGTACCGTGTCCGCAGTCTCGGGTCATCTCCCGTACCGTGTCCGCAGTCTCGGTCATCTCCCGTACCGTGTCCGCAGTCTCGGGTCATTCCCGTACCGTGTCCGCAGTCTCGGGTCATCTCCCGTACCGTGTCCGCAGGCTCGGGTCATCTCCCGTACCCTGTCCGCAGTCTCGGGTCATCATCCGTACCGTGTCCGCAGTCTCTGGTCATTTCTTGTACTATGTGTGCAGTCCATTGGTTCAGAATATTTTTTTTCTTGTTTTCCACCTCTAAAATCTAGGTGCGTCTTATGGAGCGCGAAATACAGTACATAAGATGATTATGATGACAAAAGCCCTGAGCAGAAATAACTTCAGTGATATAAATGCATGACAAAATGATTAGTAGATCCAGAGATATACAAAGCTGAATTTATATGCAAATATTACCTTTTCCATTTAGGCCTCATTCCCACAGGCAGAATAATTTAGCTTTTAGAGGTATTTTTATTTTTTTTAACCCTTTAAACACAGCTTTATTTCAGCAAAAGATGACTAGCCCTTCACCTACCTATTGGGCCTTCAACATGATGCTTAGCCTGACTGACCAACAAAGTTTGGAAGGTGGAAGGGGTGGTATTAGACTCAACTGTTAGATGAAAGATTGGTGTTAAAACTGAAGTTTAATGCGTTTCTCTGGTCCCCCCAGGGCTGTCCGTCCTATCAAAGGGGCTTGCCTCCCGCAGTGTATGTTAATGAGGAAATGCTCAGTAAGTCCCTGGTCTGTGTTGGGGACAGAGAAACTGTCCAGAAAGGTTTGCAATTCACCAGGAGGCCTTCTCCTAAAAAACATAAAAGTAAAAAATATTTTTTTAAAATGCTGTGTATATGGGAATCTATAGTGGGGGTTTCTCACATTTGGACTGTAAAAGTGGAAATACACTTTAAAGAAGCTTTCCTGAGGCCTTTAAAGCAAAACTGTGTTTTACTCTTTCAGGGCAAAGCTACCAACAAAATAACACCACTGCACACCAGTATGGTGTAAAGGAAGGTGGAAGGGAGGGAGGGTGGGTGGGTGGAAGGGAGGGAGGGCTGGGTGGGTGGAAGGAAGGTAGTTCAGATTCACATACTCAGTCAGAAGCATCAGAACTTCCCTGGAGTGTGGGTGGGCACAGGGGAAGCAGAGCAGATCCAGCCTCTCTCCCCTCTTCTTCTATTGGTGTGGAGGATGGGGGAGGGGCTGGGCACTGAGGAGCACACAGTGGGGGAGGGGGCACAGGAAATAAAAGGAATGATTGGAGACGATCAGTGCAGCAGTGGGGGCAGTGCCAAGCAGCGATCTCCTGTATGTCTTTCACTGCTGCTCCTCCCACATATCCCTAGACCCGGTGCTGCTTGCCCCCAACTTATTTCCACTCGTCCAATGTGATCGGGCAAGTGGAAATTTTTGAGGGCTGCTGTAAAGGGTTATTATATGTGTGTGTGTGTGTATATATATATATATATATATATATATAGTTTTTTTTTTAATAGAAGGATGTAACTTCATGTGGCCAGCGTACAGCTACGTGATGTTAGGGTACATTGAGAGGCAGAATACAATCGGTCCCAGCTCTGTGCTGGCCTAGGAATGCTAGTTCTTACAGTTCTGTGTTCTGAACCAGATGTTAAAAAAGCCGCTTGTGTGCAGCATCCCAGCCTCTCAGTGTAGCCCGCTTAAAGGCTAATTTCGCCTTTTGCTAATTTTTTTTTTTTTTTTTTGCAAATGAGCCTGCAAAGCATTACAACCAACCACAATAGGCTCCTCGAATTCCCTGTCCACGCTGAGGTATGGACTTTCAGTTACTGAGCTGGAGGAAGTGTCAATGGACTATGAATGCGGTAATCACCGTACGTGTGTTCCATTATGGTTTACAAGACCATCTACTGCAATGACAGATGGGACGTTTATTCACAGACTGTGAATGAATGATATGGCTATGCAGGCAAAGTGTTTCACAGCTGTGATAAATTCAACAGTGACAGCTGGCGCAGGGGAACCAATGCAAACATGTTACACCCTAAATATGGGTCTAACATGTAACATTGGCTAAAATATAGTTAGCCTTTCCACCCCATCCCCAGCAGTATATACACATCTCGACAGCACTTCCCCTCTGCCCTAGACACTTAAAAAAAAAAAAAAAAAAAGCAACAAAGGTTTTCAGTGGTATATTAATGCTCCATAAAATATAACATTCTCTTAAGACTCCAAGAGCAGCAATTTAAAGTCTTGGAAAATATACGGCAGCAGCTCCCAGTT